TATCTCTCCCTCTCCGCATGCCCGAGCACCACCCCCGCCATCGCGCGCGCATTCACATGCACATGCTTCGCGCGCTCGCCCACCTCCCAGCACACCTCCACACCGCGTACCCACACGCAGCCCTAAAATACAAAAAAAATGTCAGCGCGTCTACTCTTGATCAAGGAACCCAGAAAAAATTTGTGGCTACGCACCAACACCTCCTCAATCGAACTCCGCAACTTCGGATCCGGCTCCAGCATCTTCCGTATCAGCGGTCTGCACGCGCGCGGGCTCAAATTGCTGATCGTCGGCGGGAACACCAGCGCACTGTTCGTCCCGTGCCGGTCGCGGTCGACGTGAGGCCTCTCCTTCTCCTTCTCCTTCTCGCCTCCTGCTCCTCCTCCAGCTCCACCACTCGCACCCGTACTTGATGTCGTACTTGACGCCCCAGAGGACCCGGCGGTAGAAGTACCATTCGAGTGCCCGTTAGTAGAGGCAGACGGCGCGGCGGTAAGCGGCGGGGGCGGCGTCGCGGCTGCTGCTGCTGCATAGGCCGCGTAGAGCTGGTCGGACGGCTGTGCCGCGCGCCAGGGGAGTTCTTGGAAGTGCAGGCAGTAGTACACGATCCCGCAGGCCCAGATGTCGACGAGGCGGGCGTCGTAGGCTGGAAAGCAAACTGTATTAGTATTCCGAGTATTATATGGAGAAGATGGTGAGAGCAAGCAGGGGAGGTAGAGGGCGGCATTCCGGACACGGACAACATGGATCAGGGAAGCGTGGTATCTGCCTCTTTTCCCAGCGACAAACGGAGGAGAAAAGGATGAAAGGAGGGAGATACAGCAAAACGAAGAATAGCGACTCACGTTTCCCCAAAAACTGCTCCGGCGCAATGTACGGCTCGCTCCCACACAGCCCCGTCGACATGTGGATCGTCGCCTCCCACGGCAGGCGGTAAACCGTCGAAGCGCCGTAGTCGCCGATCTGCGAGAGCGTTAGCTTGAGCTTGAGTGCTTGTGAGAGGAGGAGAGAAAGAAGAGGACGGGGGAGGGCCCGCGAGAGGACGCCGGCGGGCCGAGAGGACATAGCCAGCCCACGCGTCCCTCGCAAGGAGGGATATGCGCAGGGCGACACAGGTCTCGCCGGTACGTGCGCCAACGCGCAGTACTCAATTGTGCAGCAATCAACTGCCGACGTGCACCCGTTCCCCTGACCTCGTGCTTCCCCCGAGAGAGCACCGCAGGCGCAGCCTCCCCGTCCGATGATGCACACCCCGCCCCGCGCCGTCCGGCTGGTGTGTCCGGGGTTACAGCCATCCCCCGTCCCCGTCCCCGTCCCCACCTTCCCTCCTTTCAAAAAAAATCACACACCTTCAAATGCCCCCCCGTATCAAAGAACAGATTCTCCGGCTTGATGTCCCGGTGCGCGACGCCCTGCGAGTGGAGGTACCCAACCCCGCTCAGAATCTGCTTGAAGCAACACTCGACCTCGCTCGGCGACATGCCACCCTTCTTGATCGCCGCGTAGAGGTCGCCGCCGGGGCAGAACTGTGTGTGTGCGTTAGCGAGTTATTCGAGAAGAGGAGAGGGGAAGAGGGGAAGAGGAGAGAAGGAAAAGAAGATATGAGACGGAAGAGGGGGAGCAAGCGGCCCGCCTCGAGCGAGGGACGCTGGCATCGGGCAACGAGATGCCGTCGGCCGTCGTGTATGTATTGCCCTCGTCACCCCACTCCCGACAACGAAGCCGCTGGGGGATCTCGTCGGCCCTCGCCGCCGCGCATCCATCCTGTGACGACCACGCATCCTCCGCGTCTCCTGCCCTCAACTCGTCCACGCGCCCCCTCATCGGACATCTTATTTTATCCCGCCGGCCATCCCTACACGCAACCATCGCGACCATCGATTAAGACGGCCCCCATCGACCTTCCCCACCCCACAAGCGAGCATCGATCTGCACGAGCTCCCGGACCCACAATCAAAGATCCACGCCCCACCCAGCCCACGCGCCAGCGAGATCCACAGCGCTACGCGAGCCTAGCGAGATCCACCGCACCCGAGAAGCGAGATCCGCCGCAGCACCCCACAGGCGAGATCCGACGAAAACAAAAAAGAAGAACAAAAGGGGGCAGGCAGAATCCGAACAAAGAGGCAGGATCCAAGCGACGACCCAGGCTCCGGAAAAAGGCTAGAGCCGAGCGGGGGGAACCGAAATACAGAGCGGAGACCGCCAGAGCCACCGAAAAGCCACCAACGCAAATGGCGCAAAGTGAAATCACCCCCTCCCCCGGAAAAAAATAGGAAGAAAAAAAAACAGAAAGAGAAAGAGAAAAACACACACCTCCATAACCTCACACCACCTGCCCTGCTCGTCCTGCACGAGGTCGACGGTCTCGACGATGTTGGCGTGGTGGAGGGTCGAGCTGTGAAGCGGGGTGAGTGTTAGCGAGCGCCGATAGACGGAATAAATCAAGTAGAGAAAATAAGAGGGCTGAAGGGAGGCGTAGAGTAGAATAGAATAGAACAACAGGATAGAGAAGGAGCGAGACTCCCCTTCCCACCGAAAAAAAAAAAAAAAAGAAAGTGGAGGACGACGTCATACGCAAAAGAAAACGGGCGTCAGCGTCCGGGGCGCCCTCGAAGACCGTCGCAGCCCCAGCACCGGAGGGAAGGGGAGTCAAAGCCAAAACGCCGGACGGGCGCACCCCATTGCGTTGACGCCCGAGAGCCGTGAAGCCGACCCCGAAGGCGCAGCTCGCACCCCGACGACCCGCCGACCTCCTGAGACGAGAGCCGCGGAGCTCGCAAACCACCGACGCCGACTTCGCCCGAGAAGCCACGTCCGCACAATGAGCGACGCCACCCCCGACGCCACCCGAAGGTGCAGCTCGCAGACTACCGAAAGCGTCGTAGCAAAGCCGGCGGGCGCCGAAAAAAAAAGCCGCCGCCTTCCGGACACCAAAACCCAAAGTACCACAGTACCATAGTACGATCGAAAACCGAAAGTACGATCGAAATCGAGGGTAGCAATGTGCAAGAAAACACACACCTAATACAAAACTCCGCCGTGAGCTTCTTGACGTACTCCTTCTCCGTCTCTGCGCGGCGGCGTTTGCGGAATTCCTGTGTGATTTTTGGGTTAGATGATAGTAGATAAGAAAGAAATGGGAAGACGAAAAGACGCACCTTGACAGCGTACATCTTGTCGCCCTCGCTCCGGTCCCACTTGTGCGCCAGCCTTACGACGGACGTGGCGCCCTTGCCGATCGCGACCTACACCCTCCATTAAAACACCTCCAACAAATCGAGCATATCCACACACCTTCTGACACACCCCATACTTCTTCGACAACGACGTCGCCGAATCTCCCCCTGCACTCTTCACACTCCCCCCACTCCTCGTCTTCTCCTTCTTCCCCTCCTTCCCCTCCTTCCCCTCTTTATCCCTCCCCGACGCAGACAACCCCGCCCCCCAACTCCGATGACTAACCTCGCTCCCGCTATCCGCACTATGCCTTGAACTCGCGCTCCGCGCGCTACTCCTCCTACTCAGCTTCGGCCCGTTCGCGAGCAGGTCTTTGAGCGTGAACTTGTGCTTCTCCCCGCCGTCCTTCTCCTTCCCCGAGGCGTGCGAGGCCTCGGAGATGACGGACGCCGCGCGGCTGGGCGCACGCGCAGCGGGCAGCGCAGGGGTGCTCGGCGCGGATTTGGATGATGCAGCCGACGCCGAGGCGGCGCGCTTCACGGATGCGGGTAGGGGTGCGGGCGGGGTGGGGCTGATGGGCGATGTGGGTGCGGAGGCCGCCGCGCCGTTGGTGGAGGGCGGTTTCAGCGTGGTATTGGATGATGAAGAGTTGGGTGTCGTGGTTTTGTCCGAGTTTGCCCTGTCGAGCAGATCCTGCCTCGTCATGCCCGGCTGCTTATCGTGCGCAGCTGCCTCGGGCGGGGGAAGGGGTATGCTCGTCGTCGATACTTTCGGCGCCATCGTCTTCTTCGTCTTCGTTTCTTGTTTCTGTTCCTTGTTTCTTGCTTGTTCTAAGTGAAGTCCCGTAGTAAGCTGCTAAGTAGTCTTGACAAAGTCCCGTAGAACGTCCTAGAGCCTCAATTCGCTTGACAAAGCAGCATGGCCATGGTGAGTTGTATGTGTGTACGCTGGCAGTGGTGTGGTGTAAGCAGAGCGTTGGTCGCACCACATCCGATACACTCGCGTAAACAATACCGTGACGCCCAACCACCAGCATAATTCCCGCATCAATAATAGATTGGTAAGTCGGCCCGGTTGCCGCTCAGGACCGTCTCTTTGGTGATCCTATTAACACTTGATTAAGACTTTTACAGACGTAGCAGTAAAAAATCGTAAGCCATAAAAAAATTTGAGCGATCTCTGCGCTAAGGCCCGACCCCGAGTCGAACAGGGAATTTCCTCTGCGTCATACTACGCGATGTTCATAAGTGAAGGACGTGTAACCGTTACACCATCAGGCCGTTCCAGGCTTTGTCAATCATGTTGCAATGTTTGTTTCACTCGCTACCTAAAAAAGGTTTAAAAAAAAGGTTATAAAAAAAGGTTATAAAAAAAGGTTATAAAAAAAACAAATGAACAACACCTCATGGCCTGAGCCGGATTCGAACCAGCGACGTTCTTACAATTTTTTGTTTCGAACCACTACAATATAATATAAGAACGTGTTACCACTACACCACCAGGCCGACACCAAATAGTCCACCTTGTGGTACCTATCAATATCTGGCTCTACCTCAATTGGCTGCATGAAAAGCAAAGTTCACTCTCTCAAGGTCGAGCGTTGTTACCACTCAACAGGACAAATGCGTTGGCCAAAAATAACAAAACAACAAGCTTCCAATGTATGGCCTGACCCGGATTCGAACCAGGGACTTCCTCATAGGACACTTCACAATGGATAAATTGAAGAGGATGTGTAACCGCTACACCACCAGGCCGCTGCAGATTTTGTCAATCATGTTGCTTCCGCTGCTACCAAAAAAACAATAAACCATGTACATTGGCCTAACCCGGATTCGAACCAGAGACTTCCTCATAAGCCATTTTACCATGGACAAATTAAAGAGGATGTGTAACCACTACACCATCGGGCCACTGATTTTGTCGATCATGTTGATGCTGCCACCAAAAACAAAAACAAAAACAAAAAAATGGACCTCACACTGTACATGGCCTAACCCGGATTCGAACCGGAAACTTCCTCATAAGTAATTTCATATATGGCATCATCCTGCAATTAAAGAGGATGTGTAACCACTACACCATCAGGCCGACAACAGATCTGGTTCCACCTAGATTTACTGCACCACATAAAACAAAGCTCACATTCATGCTCTCCTTTCTCTCTCGAGTACAAAACACCTCTAACGCGGTGGAGTGTCAAGTACCGCCCATAATTAACACGACAACGTGCGGGCCAAAAAAAGCAGATATGTGATCCATCAGTGGCCTGACCCGGGTTCGAACCAGGGCTTCCTTTGAGCGATGATTATCTTTCATACAGAAAAAGGACATGTAACCACTACACCACCAGGCCAATATCAAAGCTGTTCAATTGCAACCTATTGCTTGATAACAAACTCTCAGGGACATTCATCACTGATTTGTCGGTGTCAGGCTGCAGCAAAGGTTGAATTGATTTCTAGATAAGATTTACTGCAACGCCCAGTGATGAGATACTGTTAAAGAACAGAAGAAAAAAGAGGATAGCTTCCAAAAAGAAAGAAAAAAATCTGGATCACTTCACGACATGGCCTGACCCGGGTTCGAACCGGGAACTTCCTCATAAATTACAAACTAACAAATCCGCGGAATCAAAGAGGAGGTGTAACCACTACACCATCAAGCCCATTATGGTGTTCTGCCTTGATTAGCTACATGAGGTGAACAAGGATTACATCCTCTCTTCTATTCAAGTACTCACTGGGCAGTACAATAAAGGACATCCATGCTTTCACTCAACATAATAATACTTATAAAATTTCAAAAAAGTAACAATTTCTCAACAGAGACTCAGAGGGCAATAAAAAATTAAATTAAATGTAATCAGCTTATGACCTGACCCGGGTTTGAACCGGGGACTTCCTCACCATCGAGGTGGAAGTTTGCACCTAAAGAGGATGTGTAACCACTACACCATCAAGCCAATGGATGACAGACATTGATGTCTGAGAGTGACCTGAGTTGCAGTTAGTGGCCACGAGATGAACAAATCATATGCTCTCTGAGTACCAGCCAGCAAACTAAAACACATCCATGCTTTCACTACTACTAATAGAATTTCAAAAAAAAAAGCAGCAAGTCTACATCTACAGAAGGGGCAATAAAAACAACACTTTCGACTGATGGCCTGACCTGGGTTCGAACCAGGGACTTCCTTTGCAAATTGACGATCTGGTATTGAAAGAGGATGTGTAACCACTACACTATCAGACCAATAACCAACTTCTTCATAACCTCGGAGATGTTGATCGCTGATTAGCTGGATTAGAATACCACCAGAGAGATGAAGAAGAAGGAGAAACATCCATGTCCATGTCCCTCTTTTGAATTTCCTGTACCAAAAAAATCCGTAACCAACCAACCAACCAACCAAAAAAAAAGTCCCTGCCTATGGCCTGACCCGGATTCGAACCAGAAACTTCCTCACAATCACTGACGGACTGCTTTACTGAAAGAGGACGTGTAACCACTACACCACCAGGCCAATGTCAAAGCTGTTCAATTGCAACCTATGAGGATAGAGACTTTCAAGTTACATGATTGGTTGGTTGAATCCGCTCATGCTGCGGCAGCAAGGTTTGGAATTCATCACTTGAGTCTTGTCCTTCAGCAATAGTTCTTAATATCAGTGTATTCTGACAACGAGCAAGACTGTGTAAAATAAGAAAGAGGTGTCTGTAATCCGAGTCAAAGAAGAAAGGGAAAAGAAATCCTTCATTTATATGCCCTGACCCGGATGCGAACCGGGACCTCCTCTGGTGATTTCACAAAATGAAACAGGACATGTCAACACTAAACCATCATGCCCATAGCCTTTACCAACGTTAACTTCGGGGACACATCGATGATTGATCGCAGATTAGTTGGGTTGAATTCTAAAGTCCACCTGCATTTGATAGGCCGGCCTAGTTGCAAGTAGATCAGATTTCTCTCCATTCGCTTGAAGTATATGTACAGCAGCAACGGCGAGAGGGAAACACATCTGTGCTTAAGTAAAAATACACGGTAGAGTGTAGAGCGCTAACCTAGCGAAAGATCCTCAACAGAACAACGTGCAGGCAAAAAAAAAAACATATGCTATCTGTCCTTGGCCTGATCGGATTCGAACCGGGAACTTCCTGTTAACATTCCGACAATAATCATAAATGAAAGAGGACATGTAAACACTACACCGACAGGCCAGGTTCAATTTGTGTAGACGTAGGTATGCAACTTCAGCCTTAGCGGATAGAATCGAGTCACAGGTCGAGGTCAGGAAATTGACAATCCAACCATCAGCAAGTCGGCTGAATTAAAGGAAGTACTTCCGAAGTAGGTAGTTACATCCACGAAATATTCTGCGAGACAACAGAACGCGAATGTTTCTCGCATCTAAACACCGATTTTTTTGAAAGATTGAGATGATCTGACCACAAACGGCGCTGCATCGAGATGCGGCATTCGCGCTTTACCCGAACGATGTTGTGCGGGTCTTTGCAAGTGTTAAACTTTTCTAAACTACACAAACGACAGCCGCGTTGCATACCCGTCATGATCAAGTTGAACGCAAACGTTCACGGGATCGCCACATTTACAACAACTCAGTCCGTGGTGCAGGACACAGGTATCAAGAGATTGGAGTCCCAGCAGCCGCACGGAATGAAAGAAATATTAACAGGGAAGTGAGACTGTGCATTGCCAAGAAACACAATAACAAACGGCCCGACTCGAATTCATCGAACGAGCGCCGCACGGGCGATTCCCCAAGAATGGGCATTTACTGCGACAGATAGGCCAGACAAGGTGGAGGACATGACATTCGCAGAAACGAAAAAGACCGCAAGTCCGTCCATTCTATTCTGCGCCGGTCAGGTCCGAGGTTGGGGCGTTGGGAAGAGGTGCGAACCAAAAGAAAAGACGCTACGTACTATGCACAGCGGCGTGCCCAGTCCATGTTGTCCTGTGCGGCAGTGGTGATAACGGGCCAGCCGGTGAAGCAACAGAATTGGTCGGAGTCTTTGAAATTTGAAGCGCAAAGAAGCGATCTGGAACAGAAGGTTTTTTTTTCAACCAATGCCTGACCTAATTCGCCAAATGTACGCACTCGCCACGCCCCCATGGCCAATCATCCTCCGAGTCGCGATCGGTTCTTCCAAATTGTCGCGGTGGATGTCCTTGGATGTCGCTCGTAGTGGCACAACTCGACGAAGCTTGTCATTGCCCGAGTTCGAGTCACGGTCATCAAAATAAGGGGAGCAGCGAAGCTCAGTTTGCGGCCGACAGCAGCCACAGACGTCAACGAAGGAAGTGGTGTCTGAAGTTGGTCTGAAGACGGAGTTCGAATTTCCGCGGAACACTCCGGCGGGCGGGCCGGATGTTTCCGGCTTTCGCTTTTTCGGCCACCACCATTGGACCACCACAAGTTAAACTCCAGAACGCCACACGAACGTGTTCTTTGCTCACTCGAAGTTCAGATCTCCAAGCTGGGACTAAAACTGAACTCTGACCGCCAGGCTGGGCTGGTTACTACCGCAGCAGGCTGCTCGGAAACGTTAACGACGTTTCCAACTTTCCACTGTCTTGAAGAAGCGTCTGAATGGATACTCCACCGCTAGGTGATAATGTAAAACGATACTTTTTGGGATGCTCAATACGAATTTCCCCGGCTTGGAATAATTTCAAACCCGGCGACTTTGGCGACAAAATCCAAATCCGATGCGTAACTCTTCTTCATGAAATAAGTGGACTTAAATTTCGAGGTCCGCGTCGGATCTTGTGAGAAGTGTGTTTGAATCAGTGTCATAAGAATTACTTCACAGTATGCGTCCGACAGCGACAGCCTCAACAATCTAAAGAAAATGCAAGATATCACGGGTCCATAGTCCAACGTCCAATTATTCTTCTTCTTCGTCCTCATCCTCCGAGTCCTCTCTCATCCCATCATCTGAGTTATTCCCATCATGTTCAATCGGCGCGCAACCGGCAACGCTTCGAAAATGGCGCCCCAGCCAACGCGCACTCGCCTCGAGGCCTTCGAAGTGGAGCCCACGCGTTTTGAACGAGTCCTCATCACGCTCTTCGTCCGTGCTCGCGATGTGTAGCGGGGTTCCTACACTGGCTAGGAGCAACCGCAGCGTCTCCCGCAGGCTGATCATCCCGGCGCACGCCTCCCCCGCCTCGCCGAACAGAACGCGGTGGAGCTCGCACACTTCAGATGCAGAGATATCAAACGTACGTTCTTGGACTGGGCGCCAGCGCCGTCCCGGAGGCATTTCCTTGAGGCCCAACTGGAAGAGCGGGCGGAAGCCATTCAACTTCTCCGGCCCGCTCGGCGTGGTGATGTTCAGCTTCTCGTCGACGACCGACGGGTGAATGCGGTAGTGGACAACGCAAAAATACTCCACGGAGTATTGACGGGTGTAGTAATGATACTGGAGATACACGTCTACCGCCGCAGGGTTGGTGGGCGAGTAAATGCGGGTGAGGATACTCGCATCTGAGACCTAGAAACGGTTTAATATATGCGCGATAAATGCGCGAGACGTAGCTTACCACGCCATCTTCTTCCACGTCCTCATAAAGAGGGACGATGCAATGTTGAACAATGGTTTTTGCGGGGCCAAAATCGGTGCAATTCAGGAGAGTGGCCACCGCATTCTCGATGGTTGGGAAGATGGCAGGCCGATCTCCGCGACCGTATTCTGCTCGGAAATCAGCCACATTCTCCCCGACGCGTCGATATGCAGCTCGTCGTTGCTCAAGATATCCATCCCATGCTCTGTACGGGTTGGGATCAATCAGTTGGAACTCCACCATGCAGTCCTGTAGGGCCGTGGAGGAAGAGGATGGAGAGGACGCGATCACGGCGTGCGAGGCGGCGAATTCCACCAGATCGGCCGGCATGAGCAGCGTCAACTTGTGTGGGAGTTCGGTACAAAGAAATAACAAACAAAAGAGTCGTAAAGGCTCACCTACTTCTCCTGCGCTGTCAAAAACCACCTTGGAAAGTACCAGGTAACCGAAGTGCGTAAAAATGACACCGTCGGCGGTGGCAAGGTACTATTTAACGATAAGTGGAGCCGCCATATCGGAGTATCCACATTACCCAGTGATGCGCGGGAACCCTAATTTCATCCTGGATCCGCTGTGCGATCCATTTCTGAGGAAAGATCAACAAATCAAAATATATATCCGCGGCCAGAGAGCAAACCAGGCTGTCCATCTTCAACCACGGAATCTCGATATAGCCCTGTCCCTCGGTGCGCAACAGGGCCTTGCTGTCATCGTTAAATCCCACAATGCGCAATTTTCGATTGCCTATGTTGCCCGCTATTTCCTTGTGTAGGTTGTCGTTTACGCTGCGGCTCTTCTGGTCGGCATATTGCGCCTCGTCGAGTTGCAGTTCGGAAAGGGACCTGGGATCCAAGGGCGCTGGCCCACGGCCAGGAAATTCGGACATGAAAGGAAAACAAAGAAAACGATGCGGACGTGATCCGGCTCCACCGGATTCGAGTTCCGTAATGCTCTTTGACGATGTAGGGCCCACCCCACATTTAAAATCGAATCTCACCGCGTTGTCCCAAATGAAATGAGCAGGGAATAATGCATCACACCGAAGTCGCCGCTGCAAACTCAGTCCCTAAACGTTAACGTTCACCATGGAAGGACGAACTTGAAGCGTCTAGGACCATCATGGAGGAATCATGGAGGAATCGATTAATAGTCCATTGAAATCTCAAGACAGGTACCCGACTTTGCGTAAGTATCCTACCCATTCCTTCGCATCTCGACTCCCTAATGCCGCCAGGGACGACATAGAACGAGAGGCCTCGACAGCGTTCGCATTAGAAAGCGGCGCAGGAAAGAATGCTTCCGCCTTCAGCAACACACTATTCGCGCGAAAGAAATCGAGTAAGCGCACGCCAGGATTATTGGTTCCCTGAGAAGCAGCCGTTTCCAGGGACTCCAGCCACCGCGCATACGGAACCACAGGAAGCTGAACCTCTTGAGCGATCGGCAAAACAACATCCATGAACGAGACACAGTGCGGATGGGTGAGGTGCAGGTAGCGTTTTCTGCTCGTCCGCATTTCCACAAGAATCTGCGCCGCACGGTGAATAGGCACCCACGAAATGCCCTGGGAAATATGGCGTAAGTACAAAATGGCCACAGCTATTCCAAACAACGTACCCCCTGGACTTCGGGCAAATGACCCATGAGTTGGCTGGACCGGAGAAGAGTCGGGAACCATTCGCTGGTTTTCCAAGCACCACCCGGGCCCCCGGAGAGCTGTCCAGCACGCACAATCACAGGGTCCAACCCCGCCTTCTGCGACGCAATTTCGAGCATCTGCTCGGTCACCCATTTGGACTCCGCGTAGCCCAGTCCAGTGGATGTTGTTGCATCGGGTATTCTAGCCTCTGGAGCGGTCTCCCCATCGAAGTCTGAATATCTCGTAAGTAATCCGGAAAGACGAAATAAACTAGGGACACCCACTCCAGAATA